GAGTTATTTTCATACTTCTTTTTTTGCATCAGTGATAAGGCATACATTTGCGCAGATGAGTTAGGAAGTTTTGAGAAGTACCTTTTATGGTCAGAAAGTAACAGATTAAAGGTTTTTATGGGTTCCAAATTGGTTAGTCACTTAGGTATGCAATTATAAATGCAAAATAGTGCCAGATCTTTAACTGTATATCAGGGTCAGTTTTTGTTCATGCCCAATCACTACACCTTCCTCATTGGCCCTGGAGTCCTACTGTTTTGTGCCTTCATTTGTGTTACATACATAGCTGCAAGCAAACCATTTTTCCCCGTTCTTTTATTCAAACAATAATTTTTGAAACAAAAATGAGGAAGGAAATCAGCGGCAGAAATAATCCTGCTGTTATTGGTGTTTGTTTAATTAAAAAAAGGGACTTTTTTCTTAACTTTTTATTAACTCTTCCTAAGGGAACTGTCACATATTATTATATAATTCTACTTGTCTTTTTTTACTTAAAGAGCATAAACTCGTTTTTATTTTGCACACTTTTCTCATTTCCCTGAGAATTTACCAGAAAAAAACAAAGATACATAGATTTGTCTCTGTGTTTTTCTTATTCTTAGCTTAGTTTTTTTTTCCTTCTTGTCTAAAAATTGAGATTTCCTATTGGAACAGATAATTGTTCTAATATAGCATGTCTATAAGAAATGCAGACCTAACTATATTTCTATAATGTCTTTCCAAAGTGTTCATTGGTTTTTATGGTAATTCATCACTGAACTCTTAATTTTTGCTTTTCTATTAAGAACTATATAGTATGTACAAAATTACTTGTTCACAAAATTAGTTGCTAGTTTCAGGAAAAATATGAATGAATCTTCTGTGGCCAGTTAGGAATACATCAGTTTGATGCATTTTTAATGGCTCTAAACATCTAATAAGGTACTGTATTTGGAGAGAAAAGGTGGCTGTCTCCATATTCAAAGTATTTCTGCCAGTCTTCAAGGTATTTTGTTCTTTTAACGTCTGGCTTCTTCCTATCACAGTTATCAAGCTGAGAATACAGCTGAGGAAGTTCATTCTCTAAGTCACCAGAGGTATAATATTTAAACAGTTACACTTTAGTGCCCTAAAAATCCATTAACCAAAAACAAAAAAGTTTTCTCCCTTTGGTCATTTCATATAATAAAAAAATTTAATATTTTAGAGAGGTTTTTTCCTTGAATTAGGTGCTTTAACAATTGATTTCCAAGGGAATATTAGTATTGATTTTTTCCTCAGAAAAGCAGATATTATTTAATAGGGAAAATTATTACTCTATTGATATTTCTTATCTCATATGAAATTTCTTATCTAATATTTTGCACAGGTAAATTGAAGTGAAAAATGAGCTACTATGTGGTACAATCAAAATATAATAAGGAGAAAAAATAGACCAATAAAGTGCTCTCTAAAAATTTAGTTTTTGGACTTATCAAAATAATTGCCTCAATTCTTCTCTTTATTGTATACATAGCCTTAACTATATACTTATAAACTCAGCTGGGCTGATGCACAGTAACTTTATTAAAGGAGAAACTGGACTCTTGTTACTTCCTAAAGCAGAACATGGCCTGTTCTCCCTAAGAAAATAATGTTTTCAACTTTATAACCATAAATGCACATAATAACAGGGAAAATTAGCCACAGTTCTCCTCTCCTACTCCCCTGAGCCCCTACTTTAAAGGACTATTTGTTATTTATATAGTGTTAAAGATAATATTCCATATCTTTGAAGTATAAGACAGAGAGGCACAGTATAAGATTTATAACTTTTTAGAAACAAATAATTACTTGAAAAGGAACCTTATACAATTAGGGTATTATTTTTAGATTTGGTGAACATTTATATTATATTAAAAATTAAATGTTTAAATTTTGCAGGTTTTTTTATATTAGGCACCTTTTAAGTTCCCAGCATATTTGGCTACCACTATCAACTTGGAAACATTCCATTTGAAGTATCATCAAATATATATTTTGTAGGACAATTTATATATGATGTGATTTGACCTACCATATTAAAACAGACACAGATTACATATCATGCTTTCAACCAAAATTAGAGATTTCCTTCAAAACATGCTGCAGATTTGATAGCGGTATATTATATTTTAGGAAAATGCAATGAAGAAGGTCTGAATCCCTATTGAGGCTTAGCTGGATGGCTGATCTGCATTAGACTTAAGAGGATATATCACTTCATCTGCATATAAACACGTAGGGCTGAATATGATGTCAAAAGGGTTTGCCGTTAATAATTTTCTTCAATGTAAACATTCCTAATAATTTTTATTGTTGCTCCTTAGTCAATCATTTCCCAAAACATAATTATTTTTAATATATATATATAAGATTTAAATAGTAAATAATAAAAGGTAATGTGTACTTTTTAAGTTTTGTTCCCAGCCATATGCAGTAATTCCCTGATAGAAAATGCTATGAGAATACCGAGTGTTTTTTCATAATTTAATTTTAGCACTGAACCTGATTTTAGTACATGATAGTCTAAATATTAAGTTATTCACTCTAAAAGGGGAAATCAGTAAAAGCAAGGAATTTATGACATTTTTACTGTAATTTCAGTATCTGTAATACAGGGGAAGATTGATCAGGAAAAATATAAGCTGGCAACTTACCCTTTTGGTTTTCAACAGCAAAATAATATTGAAAATATAATAAGTCACAGATCCAGAAGTTGGTGGAAATGGGAGAATGTTTTAGAAAACATTATCCATATGTTTATCTAAGAAAATCTCAGAATTTAGTGACACTAATACGTAGTTCATAAATACTGTAATACAGTAGAGAGAGTTGGAATGTTATTTTGGTTTTATTTCATCAGCACAATTATTAAAAACAACAAAATTAATGAGATATTTTGTTATAATCAGATTTTTTTTTTTTACCACACTGCAAGTTATAAAATGTCAACTTAATACTAAGTACCTAACAACTGACTTTTATTCATTTGTTGTGACAAGTTTTTAATTACCAAATTAAGACCTTTTCAGTGTCTACGAGTAAAAGAAATAGATGATTATATCAGACCAGGAGCAGAGAATGTATAATATGTGCTTTTTAGCAAAATGTATTAAATTGTGGTTAAAATTTACAGCTCATATGTAGCTGCTGCCAATAAGAAGGCTCAGAGTTGTTCTCTGGATTAATTTTTACATCCTGTTTTCTGTCACTTTTACCAGTCTTCTTAGCCTCATGTACAATAATGTTAAGCCAATTTGATGAAATGGTTCAGGCTGTAGCAGTCTATAAACTGTTGGTACATTCAGCTCTTCTAGGTGAGCAATACTGCTACTATTTTTCTAGAAATAGCAATCATTTAAAAATGCCAAATAGCTAACTGCTACCAACTCTTTCTTGTATCTTGTCTCTTTAGAGAAGGAAATTTTTGTGTGCCAATAATCATCAAAGAGGTGTTTTATAAGGGTGTTGATGTTCAGAAGTTTTATCCCTATAATTTGCTCGTGAGCTAAAACAATATAATTTATTAAATCTTTACTTTATATGTAAAAATATAGTCTGTTGTACTTGAGTAATTTGGTCTATGGAATTTTAAATACCTTCATTTAGCAGTAATATTCACATTTTTGACAGTTAAGTTCATGTGTTTGATTTTGTCATGTCAGTATAAATGAGAAAAAGAAGTAGATCATGCAGCTAATGAGTAACCAACATTTTGTAAAGTTTTAAAGTTTTAGCAAACCTAACATTATTCCATCTCATTTAAAGGTTAAAAAAGAAGAGACAACTCTAGCCAAAGTAGAAATTTATATTCTACATGTCCAAACTGTTTCCTAGCAGCTTTTGGACTATATATCACTTGATGTTAAAGTATCTTTTATTTGTAATAAATGTTCAAATTTCTATTTAGAAGTTCTAATGTATACCTAGATTAATCAAATCACAGTTTTATGCTTTTAAAATATATGTATTTCAAACTGTATATTTTAATTTCTGAGTGCATGTTATATAGTATTTAATACTTCAGATGTCTTGGCAAATTCAATATAAATATTTATTCCCACAAGCGATAGATGGGATATCTCTTAAAAGTTATGACTGTGTACCATTTCCTTCAAAGTCATCCTAGCCTATGCTGTATCAAGAGTATTGTATATTTTATGGAGATTTAGTGATATACATGTAAATGTTTTTTAAGTTATTTTATTGAAGTTCAATCTTTACATAAAATTAAAATCTTTTTTTAAAAAAAGTGTCAGTGCCAGAACTGTAAATGAAAATAATCAAATAAAAGTTAAAATGATTCATTACTCATTAATTTACCTTGCACTTATTTATTTTTTCTAGTTATCTTCCTTGGATCTAGGTTAGATAGTTAAAGCATCTAGAAAGACAATCTACCTCTATATATTAATGCAGTCCTAGTCATTTTAATGATATTTCATTTCTTTTGATTATGGATAAGGTCAATCACCTTTAAAAAAATGTAATACCTAAAAATTGGTCTAAAGAATTATTCTAAATACTGAATGTAAAACTGTGAAATGTAGTGCTTAGGAACCCTTGAAGTAATAATTCTAGTTATTGTCAGAACCAGATGTTGACATGAACCATTAAGTTGGGTTGTCAAAATTTATCTTTGGTTGTTTTTCTGTAAGTGAAAATGAAAAATCGTGCTGGAAGGCCAGCTGACATTTCCTTTTGGGACTCTGTTGCTCTCCCTTGCCATTCTGCCTCAATGATAGCTATAATTAGCAAATATACACTTGTTTGATATTGGCAGTCGCTAGACAACATGTCCATAGTTAGTTGTGTGTCTTCCTGAGCCTGACTTAGAAATAGCCCAAGGAGATCTTCTGAAGACTCTAGACCTACTGTCATTCAAAGGCTTACAGTTGAGTTACATCTAACCAAGGTTCTTAATGTCAGCAGGTAAGGCAAAAATCCAAGTCAAATGACCCTTGAAAATCCCACAAATTATATATAAATTGTCCACTCACCTGAATAACGGACACCTGAATAGTGCAGAATATGTCAGTAACAGAGGGCAGAAAAAATCCTCATTTAATTGTCCAATTCTGTGGAATAAACATTGTCATCCTTTTCCAGGAACTAAAACTTAAGTTCAAAACATTTTTGTCATTTGCCCAAGATGACACTAGAAAGTCATACAAAACTCTTCTTTGCAGTGACTACACCAAAAATCTTCCCCTCTGTGTCCTCCTTTGGAACAGTTTTTCAGACCTAGGCAGATAGATTAAAAACAGAAAGAAATTGTGGAATCCTTGCATTATAACTTAAAAGAGTGCATATGGGGCCGGGCGCGGTGGCTCAAGCCTGTAATCCCAGCACTTTGGGGGGCCGAGACGGGCCAATCACGAGGTCAGGAGATCGAGACCATCCTGGCTAACACGGTGAAACCCCATCTCTACTAAAAAAAAATACAAAAAAACTAGCCGGGCGAGATGGCGGGCGCCTGTACTCCCAGCTACTCGGGAGGCTGAGGCAGGAGAATGGCGTAAACCCGGGAGGCGGAGCTTGCAGTGAGCTGAGATCCGGCCACTGCACTCCAGCCTGGGTGACAGAGTGAGACTCCGTCTCAAAAAAAAAAAAAAAAAAAAAAAAAAAAGACTGCATATGGCTTACAGGAACAAATCCTGAAAAATCTTCAGAGACTTTTTCAAATGTGAGGTGATATAATGCATTGTCTAAGAGATCAGACTGAATTCAAATCATCTAGATTTAAATCCCAGCTTTTCAACTTACTGCCTAGTAACCTAAATCACTGAATCACTCTTTGCCTCACTTCCATTGTCTATAAGATGAGATGCTATTACCGTCTACTTCACATGTGTGCTGTGAGGGTTATCAGTGAATCATGTAAAGCAAGTAGAGCAGTAGCATATAGTAAGGGCTAGATAACTGTTAGCTTTTGTTTTAATCATCCGTATCCTATCCTTGATGCTATTAACGTCACAATGTTCAAAGCACAGGCAATTTGCATATAAAATCCTTTCCTAAGAACAACTACTAGGAACAGGAACACATTGGCTTCTTTGACATATGTCCTCCCAGCTCAGCTGACCAGAATGATTTGAGCGGATTTGGCTGACTAGCCTGATGTCCTTCTTCCTTTCTCCATCTCTTTTCCATATGTGTCCTCCTGAATGGCAGTTTATGAAAAGAACCACCTTCCTATATTCTCCAGATTAACAGGATTTAATACACAATTTCTGTGATCTCGCAGTCAAGAAATAAAAATAACTTTAGAAAATCAGTAATCTCTCATTTAAAGTCTTTTCAGTGTTTTAAAAAAGTAATTTTTGAACCTGATTCAAACAAAAACAGTGACATTAACCCTTTACTAATTGGCTGTATTGAAATTAAGCTCATCTTACTATAGATGCTTTGAATGCAGTATAAAACATTGAGGCTACTTCTTTCAACCTTTAATGTTTTGTGTACTTTTCCACTCACCTCCAAAAACTAGTTTCAGATCATCAGCATGCAGTGTGGTCTTTTACACAAAAGAAAATGTTGTTATGCTTTACTTTTAGCAAATAGATGCTAAACTCACAAAGCATACATTAGAGCAGCAGTTCTCCAAGAATGGTCCTCAGACCAGTAGCCTTGGTATCACCTGAGTGTGCTACAAATGCAAATCTGCAGGCCTCGCTGACAAGCTGAATCCAATTTCTCTGAGGATACAGCTCAGGAAACCATTTTCAACAACTCTGCAGGTGATTTTTCAGCACACAATAGTTTAGAAACCACTGCATAGAAGTTTGGATTCATGACTTTAAAAAGAAATCTGACATGTTCTTTTAAATGGTGAGCTCGTCTAATCAATAATAAAATGATTGACTGGATTTACGTGCAAGTTGCTCAGGGATTTGTAAAACTGTCTTATTTCCACCTCAGGGACCTTGCACAGGATGTTGCCTCTGCCTGGTATGCTTGTTGCCCTATTCTTTGTGTATCCAGTTCTTGTCATTTTCAGCTCAAAATCCTGTCTTCTCAGAGCCTGCCTTGACTCTCTGTAATGCAATTATGCCTTTCACCTGAATACATTACCAAATCACTCTTTCATTTTCTTTAGAGTATCATTATTTGAAGATTATTACTTTTCTTATTTCTTGCCTGTTTCTCCCACTAGAACAGCAGTCCTCAAACTTTTTGGCACAAGGGACCAGTTTCATGGAAGACAATTTTTTCCACAGACCTGGGAGGTTGGGGATTGATGGGAGAATGGTGTTGGGATGAAACTGTTCCACCTCGGATCACCAGGCATTCGATTCTCATAAGGACTGCACAACCTAGATCCCTTGCATGCATGGTTCACAATAGGGTTTGTGCTCCCATAAGAGTCCACTGATCTGACAAGAGGCAGAACTCAGCTGGTAATGCTCACTTGCCCATTGCTCGCCTCCTGCTGTGTGGCTCGGTTCCTAACAGGCCACAAACCAGTACCAGTCCATGGCCTGAGCACTGAGGATTCCACACTAAAAGATACACTGCATGAAAGCATGGAACTTATTCACTACTGCCTCCCTAGCACCTCATACAGTGCCTGGCATACAGTATGTGCTCAATAAATTTTTAAAAATGAATAGGTGCATGCATCTCAAGCATTCCTGCAGCCAGCAAAGGAACAGTGGAAGGTTTTTCCCAGGCTGGAAAAGAGAAGATTAAGACAGCAACATGGCACCATGCTTCCATTAACAATAGCAAAAAAGCTTTATAGTGAAGCTCTGCATAGCATAGCTGCTTTAATCAAACAGCAAATCTGTACAGGATATGAATACATGTGTATTCACATAAACACATTTGGATGACACATTTAGATAGCTTCTTATTCTTGTTAACTGGGAAAAATCTAATAATAAACCATTAAATATTAAGATAACAAAGTTGGGTGGAATTTGCATTTTATAATTATTCTATTTATACATTTTCTTTATAGAATAACACACTCATTATGTGCTAGATACTTAATATACATGATTTCATTGTATCCTCACAAAAATCCTATATCCAGAACACTATTATAGTACAAAATAATTGAGTCAGGAAGCAGTCACTTACATTGAGTAGCTCAGCTTTACAAATCTGAATTAAGACCAAGCTTAGTCGGTGCCAAAGTCATTTTTAACCAGTACCTTTTATTGTTTAGTTTTTACAATGTGCTTTATAATGGAAAATTTTAGTAACTGTCTTGACCTGAAAATTGTGGTACTGTTTTCTTCCTGCAGCGTCACTGGTTATGTATTTAGGAACTAAAGCCTAACCACTGACATACTGACAACTGGATAAAAACTGACAGTATAATTTGGAGGCAAATGTCTAAGAATCAGGATTTAATTAGGACTTTGTTTTTGGAATGTTTTGAAATATTTTTGGAACATTTACAATTATGAATTAACCCAGAGTCCTAATAAACTTCCTTGCTCTGAAGACTACTCTGTCTGAAATTAATATAGCTAGTTCAGCTTAGTTTTGATTAGTGTTAGCATGGTATATGCTAACCATCTTTTTACTTTTAATCTATGTGCCTTTATATTGAAAGTGGGCTTCTTGAAAACAACATATAGTTGAGTCTTGTTTATTGATCCATTCGGACAGTGTCTTTTACTTGGTGTATTTAGACCATCAACTTTTGAAGTGATGTCTGTCTACCATGTCTATTACCATTTTCTATTTGTTTCCCCTGTACTTTGTTCCAATTTTTGTCTTCCACACTTTTTCTGCCATTTTTGGTTTTAACTGAGCATTTTGTGTTATTCCATTTTTGCTCCTAATGTACCAGTTATATTTCTTTATTCACTATTTTTAGTGGTTGCCCTGGAGTTTGCGATGTACTACTAATCCAATTCCACTTTCAGAAAACACTATACCCCTTTGTGGGTAATGCAAGTGCCTTACACTATTCCTAATTCCTCCCTTCCATCCCTTATACCACTGCTGTCATTCATTGCACTTGTACATAAGCTATAATAATTGGATACATGGTGGCTGTTATTATTTTAAACTGTTATTTGTTAGATCAATTAAGAATAAGAAAAATTTATCTTCACTTATTCCATTTCTGATTTTCCATTTTTTGTGCAGATCTGAATTTCTGACCCATATCAACTGCCTTCTCTGGGAAGAACTTCTTTTAATAATTTCTTGCAAGTCAGGTGTACTGACAACAAACTCCCTCAATTTTTGTCTGAAAAAGTCCTTTATTTCACATTTACTTTTGAAGGATAATTTCTCAGGATACAGAACTTTAGATTGGTGGATTTTCTTTTTTAAGTATTTCACCCCACTCTTTTCATGCTTGCATGGTTTCTGAGGGGAAGTCAAATGTAATTCTTTATTCCTTTATAAATGTTTTTTTTTTCCTTTGGATCTTTTGATATTTTTTGTGTGTGATTCTTCTGTAGTTTGATTATGATATGCCTAGGTATCAATTTTGAGGGGTTTATTTCTGTTGTTTTGGCATTTATCCAGCTTCCTATATCTGTGGGTTTTTGTTTGATATTAATTTAGGGAAATTCTCAGCCATTATTACTTCAACTATTTCTTCTCTTCCTTTCTGTCTTTCTTCTCTTCTGATGCTCCCATTACGTGTATGTTGTACCTTTTGTAGTTGCCCCACAGTTCTTGGAGATTATGTTCCTTTTTATTTTTTATTGTTTTGATCCTTTTGCTTTTTTTAGTTTTGGAAGTTTCTATTGACATACCCTCAAGCTCAGAGATTCTTTCTTGAGCTGCATCCAGTCTATTAATGAGCCCATTGTCAAAGGCATTCTTCATTTCTGTTAGTGTTGTCTCCAGCACTTCTGATTCTTAAAATTTTCATCTCTCTGCTTACCTCACCCATGTGTTCTTTTGTGTTGTCTACTTTTTCAATTAGAGCCTTTCTAGTGTTTTAAATTCCTAGTCTTATAATTCCGACATTCCTGCTATATATGAGTCTGGTATGTGACTGCATTGTCTTTTCAAATCGTGTTTTTTGCCTTTTAGTATACCTTGTAATTTTTTGTTGAAAGCTAGGCATACTGTACTGGGCTAAAGGAACTCTGAAAAGTAAACGTTTGGTGACATGGTGGTAAGGTATGAGGGGAGGGGAAGCATTCTACAGTTCTGTGATTAGGTTTATCTTTTAGTGAGCCAGTGCCCTTGGGCTGTGAACTTCACAAGTGCTTCTAAGTTTTTTCTCCCTCTAGGTGGGAAAGGACAGCTAGGTAGGCTGGAGT